CCACTTCTACCCCTTCGGGTCCTCGGGTCCATGACGCCACCATTCCCCGGACCCGTCGTCCACGCTGGGCCTGAGCTCCACCTGCCGGGAGCGGAAGGCCCACTGCCCCTCTGTCTGGTCTCCACTCTCCGTTTTTCCAGCCACTCCCGCCAAGATCAGAGGGACTGTGCACTCAGCCCAGAGGTGACTGTGGGCTCAGAGCTCAGGCCCAAGACATTCAGCGGATGTCTCTCAGAAACTCCACAGGCCACAAGGTGGGCGTGGGGGTGGGCAGCAACATCTATTCACAGTCCTGAGAAAGGGAAAAACGTCTGCAATCTAGGAAGCTTTACCCAGCCAGATTATCATTCAGTATAGGAGAAAGAGAAAAGAATTTCTCAGTGGAGCAAAAAAAAAAAAACCTCAAAGAAGACAGCAATGCCTAACCTATCCTAAAAATAAAAAAAAAAAACCAACTGAAAGTTCTTCTCTACATAGAAAACAGAAGCAAGAATCCATAGGAATGAGAAGAATCAACAGTAGGGAAAGCAAACACACAAGAAAGGCCCTGGCGATCACCTAAGTAAGCCTCTGCATAGACTATATGAGGGAGGAAAGACAGTCTCTTGAGCCAGTGGTGCCGGGAAAGCCAGACAGTTGCATGTAAATCAAAGAGGTTAGAACAGTTGCTCACATCGTGGGCTGTGTGCTAAGTCGCTTCAGTCCTGTCCAAATCTTTGTGGCTCCTTGGGCTGTAGCCCACCAGCTCCTCTGTCCATGGGATTTCTCCAGGCAAGAACACTGGAGTGGGTTGCCATTTCCTCCTCCGGTGGATCTTCCCGACTCAGGGATCGAACCTGAGGTTCCTGCATTGCAGGTGGATTCTTTACCACTAGCACCACCTGGGAAGCCATCCTCACCTCATACACAAAGATAAACTCAAAAGGCTTTAAAGACCTAAATATAAGACATGATACCCTTCCACTCCTAGAAAAGACCACAGGCAAAACACTCTCATACATAAGTCATCGCAGTATGTTCTTAGGTCAGTCTTCCAAGGTAAAGGAAATAAAAGCAAAAGGTAAAAGAAATAAAAGCAAAAGATACACAAATGGAACCTAATCAAACCAAATTTTGCACAGCTAAGGAAACCACAAACAAAATGAAAAGACAGCCTACACAACGGAAGGAAATATTTGTAAACAATGAGGCTGACAAGGGATTAATCTCCAAAATATACAAACAGCTCAGACGATTCAACAAGAAACAAAAATACCCAATTAAAAAATGGGTAGAACACCTAAATAGACGTTTCTCCAAAATGTCTGTTGGCCATACGGATGGCCATACCACAGGCACGTAAAAAGATGCTCAACATCACTATTTATTACAAAATTGCAAATAAAACCTACGATGAGGTACCACCTCACAGTGGTCAGAATGGCCATCATTAAAAAGTCTACACATAACAAATACTGGAGAGGGTGTGGACAAAAGGGAACCCTCCTACACTGCTGGTGGGAATGTAAGTTGGTCTAGCCATTATGGAGAACAGTTTGGAAAGTTCCTTAAAAAAACTAAAAATAGAGCTACCATAGGATCCAGCAATCACAGTGCTGGGCATGTCTCTGGAAAGAAATGAAGCCTCTAATTGAAAAAGATACATGGACCTCAATGTTCACAGCAGTGCTGTTTACAACAGTCAAGACACGGAAACAAGCCAAGTGCCCGTCGGCAGATTTAAGATGTGTTACATATCAATATATATGTGTTCAGTTCAGTTCAGTTGCTCAGTCGTATCTGACTCTTTGCGACCCCATGGACTGCAGCACGCCAGGCTTCCCTGTCCATCACCAAGTCCCAGAGCTTGCTCAAACCCATGTCCATCGAGTCGGTGATGCCATCCAACCATCTCATCCTCTGTCGCCCCCTTCTCCTCCTGCCCTCAGTCTTTCCCAGCATCAGGGTCTTTTCCAATGAGTCAGTTCTGCATACACATGTGTACACACACAGATACTGTGGAATATTACTCAGCCATAAAAAAGAATCAACTATTGCCATCTACATCAGCGTGGATGACGCCACAAATGATGGTAAGTGAAGTAAGTCAAAGACAAATGTTATACGGTATCATTTCTGTGTGAAATCTAAACGGTGATACAAAGGAACCTATATACAACAGCCCGACAGACATAGAAAAAAAACTCATGATTCCCAAAGGGGAACGTGAAGGGGACAGATTAGGAGTATGGGGTTAACAGATACCTTTTCCCTTTGGTAAATACAGTATATAAAATAGATAAGCGGCAAGGAATTACTGTATAGCACACTTGGGTAAACTCCCGGAGACAGTGAAGGACAGGGAGGCCTGACATGCTGCGGTCAGTGAGGTCGCAAAGAGTCGGACACGACTGACCGAACAGCAACAACAGGGAATGCTCCTTGGAATCACCTGTAATGCTAATTAATCAGTATATATATATATATTCTGAGATTACTTTGAAGTCCACCTGAAACTAACACAATATTGCAAATCAACTCCAGTTCAACAGTAAGAACAAATAGTCAAGACAGGTCACAGCCCAAGAACCTCATCCGGGTTTTCCCCCCGCGGTAACGTCATTCAAACTACAGGATGAAACCTGCCATCGAGATCACCCAGAGAACTCAGTCAGATGATTCAGATGTCCCTGGATTTACATGCACGTACGTGTGTCTGTATTTAGTTCTATGTGAATATACTATATGTATATACATGCCATTGTTTTGGTTGGTTTTGTTTTGTTTGCCTTTTCATACTGTGCATGGGGTTGCTCCTTGGAGGGAAAACTATGACCGACCTAGACAGCGTCATCAAAAAACAGAGATATCACTTTGCCAACAAAGGTCCGTATAGTCAAAACTATGGTTTTTTTCCGGTAGCCGGGTACCGGTGTGAGAGTTGGACCATAAAGAAAGCTGAGCACTGAATAATGGATGCTTTTGAACTGTGATGTGGAGAAGACTCTTGAGAGTCCCTTGGACTGCAAGGAGATCCAACCAGTCCATCCTAAAGGAGATCAGTCCTGGGTGTTCATTGGAAGGACTGATGCTGAAGCTGAAACTCCAATACTTTGGCCACCTGATGCGAAGGACTGAGTCATTGCAAAAGACCCTGATGCTGGGAAAGATGGAAGGCAGGAGGAGAAGGGGATGACAGAGGATGAGACGGTTGGATGGTGTCACCCTCTCGATGGACATGGGTTTAAGCAAGCTCTGGGAGATGGTGATGGACAGGGAGGCCTGGCGTCCTGTACGTCATGGGGTCTTAAAAGAGTTGGACATGACTTAGCGACTGAACAGCCCTGTTTTCTAAGCAAAAGAACATCTAAACCACAATCAGTTAAACTCACTTTAAGGAAGTGTTGTGTATTTTTGCAATTTCCCTCAAGCTGGATGCCATTTGTCTCAGGGTGATGTTAACGTCAATGCTATCGAAACGATCAGTCCATTATGCATTTGACAGTGTCCTGAATTTCAGGCTATGACTTGTTTTCCTAAAGCTGCACGCCCACCACCAGTTCTGCCTATAAAGCTCTGTCTTGTCCAATGAAACTAAACCTATGTGTCATTAAAATCCACAGATCTGAAAACTCATTTCATGGATTGAGAGGAATGTAGGTGCATATTTATGGTCGAGATGTGAGTTTTAGGGAGGGTTTTTTTTTAAAAAAAGGAAAACAGTGAGATTCGTTCCTGTTTAGAAAGTCAGACCGTGCCCAGAGTAGTAAACACACTGTTGTTTCCAGTTAACATAACACTGAGAGATGAGTTTTGAACAACTGCCTCCACTTGATATCAACCTCAGTTCAGCCCAGATGCTTTCAAAACTCACTGCCGGTTAGATCCTGGGGGAGACCTCGCTAGGGTCCTATGACACCTTCAGGTCTAGAGTGAAGCGTGGACATCAGAGCCATGTTCAAGGGTCCCCGGGGGTCTTGCCTGGGGGTCCAGTGGTTAAGACTCCAGGCTTCCACTGCAGGGTGCACGGGTTTGATCCCTGGTCAGGGAGTAAGATCCCCAAGTTCCACACAGCAAGGCCAAATGTAAATAAATGAATAAGTAAATTAAGGGTCCCCGGATAATTCTAAGATGAACCCTCGGTGAGAACCAGTCCTGCAGACGTTGTTACCTGTTAACAAATATCCTGCTCGTGGAGCTGAGGAAGTTAAGAGGCTCAGGAAAAGACACTACACTAGGACTGCACCAGAGTTGCTTTCTTGCCCCGCTCTTATGCCGGAGTAAATCATGCACAAAGACAGAGGTGCCCACCTCAGGGTGGGCGCAGCGGTATTGCTGCGTAGATGGATGTGGGCATTGGTACACGTAGATGTCTCCTGTTCTGTGTCTGGGGCATCATTGCGAATTTACTGTGGGAAACAGTGATAAAACACAGGGAAGTCAGATACAGTTTGGGATGTTCTAGGGGGTCCTGGGCTTCCCAAGCGGCTCAATGGTAGAGAACCCACCTGCAATGAGACCTGGGTTCCATCCCCGGGTTGGGCAGATCCCCTGGAGGAGAGCGTGGCAACCCACTCCAGTATTCTGGCCTGGAGACTCCCCATGAAGCCTGGCGGGCTACATTACAGCTCACGGGGTCTCAAGAGTCCGACACAACAGCTAGACAGCAACAGGCTGTGAGTGAGTAGAAACTGCGTCTTTTCCCTAGCTGCTGTGAAAGCGCTTTCAGACCGGCAGCTTGGAGTGATTTAAACGCAATCTCAGAAGTCAATTCGGATGGCGCAGGGGGCCTGCCTACAGCATCAGCTCGTGTGCCACCCTGAGTCGATGCTGACTGACCTTTTCAACCCCGGTATCGGCCTCCCCATCTCAAACAACATCCCATCACAGGCAATTAGGTTCATTACGAATAATGGAAACCATGCTTCATTCCTGTGTTGATTCAACCCGCCTGGAATTGCCCTGGCGTGATCCAAAGATCCCCCCCACTCCCAGCTTTGTATTTTAGCTTGCGTGCTAAGTCACTTCAGTCGTGTCTGACTCTTCTGGGACCCCAGGGACTGCAGCCTGCCAGGCTCCTCTTGTCCATGGGGATTGTCCAGGCAAGAATACTGGAGTGGGTTACCACGCCCTCCTCTGGGAGATCGTCCCGGCCCCAGGGATCGAACCCACGTCTCACTAAGTCTCCTGCATTGGCATATAGGTTCTTGACCACTAGCGCCACCTGGGAAGCCCTTGCATTTTAGAGACTCAACCCATGGAATCAGTCCCAGAGCTAAGACGGCACTAATGGTACTGTGTTTGGCTAAAGGTGCTCTTTGCATTAACTCCACCATCCCTGGGGGCAGTGGGGGAGGCCGGGGAAGCAAGGAGCATCTTACAGCTCAGAAGTACAAGTGAGAAAGCAAGTCAGTGGCTCAGATCAGGTAGCAGGGGAATGAGGGAGTCTGAAAATGAAGCCACGCCTCCAACATCAAGGCAGCCTCCTCCCCGCCGGGAGGCACAGATGCTCAGAGTTAGCCGCTGCTAGATGCCCCAGGACCCGCCGACCAGTGACACGAACCATACCTGTGTCAGGAGGTGATCACACACGGTCCCCCCAAGCCTGCCACAGCCCCATCTATCAGCCGGTACCTCAGCCTCTCCCAGGGATTCCCAGAACTGTTCCAGACCCAAGCCCTGGCCCGGTTCTGTCCCCACGGCAGGAAAGGCACAGGCTGGCCCCCCGCAGAGACACCTGGGACCTTCGTCCTTGTGCGTGCACGAGTGCTGGACTGTTCTCTGGAGCAAAACACGGGTGTTCACCCAGTTGCTGACAAGCCAGCACCTGTAAAAAAGCAAAAGAAAACCCTATGGGCTGGGGTGGGGAGGGGGTGGGGTGGATGGGGGGGTGGAGTGGGAGTCACACATAGTGCAGGGTCTCCGTCCCGCCCACAGACTATGCAGCGTGAGCTGGGCAACTGCAGCCCCTCTGTGACATGAGGTCAGCTGAACTCTGCACAGACTTCACAGTGGCTGGCACAGAGTCCCAGCTAGCCCTCAGGACATCTTGCTTTCCTGGGACGGGACACATCCCATCTCCCTGGCACTAAGTGAGGAATCACTATAAGGCTGACTGTTATGTAGCAATACACCTTTTATATGTGTGTGTGCATACAATACTGCATTAGTCTCTGGTGTAGAGTTACGCAGTTGTCTTTATGTTCTTTTTCAGATACTTTTCCCTTACAGGTTGTTAAAAATTACTGAGCATAGTTGCATGTGCCATGTGGTAGGTCCTTGTTGTTTATTTTACATAAATGGCAACCCACTGCAGTATTCTTGCCTGGAGAATACCCGTGGAGAGAGGGAGCCTGGTGGGCTACAGACCACTCAGTTGTGTCTGATTCTCTGTGACCCCATGGACTGTAGCCCACCAGGCTCCTCTGTCCATGGGATTCTCCAGGTGAGAATATTAGAGTGGGTCGCCATGCCCTCCTCCAGGGGATCTTCCCGGCCCAGGGATCAAACCCAGGTCTCCTGCAATTGCAGGCAGACTCTGTACGGCCTGAGCCTCCAGGGAAACGTGTATATGTTAGTCCCCACCTCCTATTTAATCCGTCTCCCCACCCCCAACCTTTTCCCTCTGGTGACCATAAGTTTGTTTTCTATGTCTATGTGAGCCTCACTCTATTTTGTTAATAAGCTCATTTGTATCTTGATTCTGCAATTCCACTCCTACAGGCGTGTGTCTGTAGAAAACCGTAACTTTAAAAGTGTCCCCACAGGACACTGCAGCAGCATTTACAATAGTCAGAACATGGAAGAAACCTTTGTCCGTTGACAGATGAGTGGATAAACAAGATGTCACACACACACACACACACACACACACACACACACACACACACAGCGGAATTCTACTCAGCCCTCAAAAAGAATGACATAATGCCATTCACAGCAACGTGGATGGACTCAGAGACTATGATACTAAGTGAAGTACATCAAAGAACAAATATCACACGATGGTGCTTACACCTGGAATCCAAAAAAAAGAAAAACAATCAGTGCATCTCAGTCAACCTCTTAACTATTCAAGTAGAAAGAAATAAACTAACAAAAGGAAGTTCTAGTACTTTCTACATCCAAGTTAATGATCTTGTGAACTTCGCCCTACGTTAGACAACACCGCTGGAGCTCAGCCAGACTGGGACTGCTGGTGGAATTACCCCAGGGAGAGCTTTTCAAAAAGCTCTCTAGCATTTTTCAGTTCATTTCATACATCAGTTCTGGCCTTAAGGGGAGGAAGGGCACTTTTTGGAGTACCGAGAAAGGAAATGCCCGAGAAAGGGCATCACCCTTTCCACAGACTACACCAACTCTGGCCTGAGGACACGAACGCTGTCCAGGTTCTGCTGACCCAATCCTCTAGCCCTTCCTCCAAGGAAATTTAGCATTTTAAGAAATATTTGTGGGCAGTTCCCTGGTGGGTCCAGTGGTCAAGAATCTGCCTGCCAAAGCCGGGGACATGGATCTGACCCCTGGTCCAGGGAGACCCCACATGCTGCAGAGAAACTAAGCCATCATGTCACAACTACAGAGCTCACGAGCTGCAAGTACTGAACTGCATGCCTCTAGGGCCCGTGCTCTGCAACAAGAGAACCTACCGCAATGTGAAGCCCATGCGCTGCAGCCCAGAGGAGACTATCACCCGCCCACTGCAACTGGAGAAAGCCCACACACAGCAACCAAGACTCAGCACAGCCCTTAATTAAAAAAGAAAGCTAGATACATCTGCGTAATGAATCACTGAATGAAATGAATGGACAAATGACTCCCAAACAGATAAAAAAGTGTCACCTGAATTCTTCCAGAATCTGAACAGGAGGCGTTCCGGCTTTCAAGATGGTGGCCACCCACATTTGCCCTTGTCTGGTGCTCATGGGCAAATTTATGTGTCTTCCTGATCATCCTAAGGGAGATCAGTCCTGGGTGTTCATTGCAAGGACTGATGGTGAAGCTGAAACTCCAACCCTTTGGCCACCTGATGCGAAGAGCTGACTCATTGGAAAAGATCCTGATGCTGGGAAAGATTGAAGGTGGGAGGAGAAGGGGACGACAGAGGATGAGATGGTTGGATGGCATCACCGACTCGATGGACATGGGTTTGAGTAAACTCCAGGAGTTGGTGATGGACAGGGAGGCCTGGGGTGCTGTGGTTCATGGGGTCACAAAGAGTTGGACATGACTGAGCGACTGAACTGAACTGAACTGATATGGCAGTCATACATACCTGATGGTAGCGAAAAGCACTGTTACGTTCAGAAAGCTTTGCTTTCTCCCTCATCTTTATCTTTTTTTTCTTTTTTTTTAATCTTTTTTTTAAAAAAATGTATATATCAAACTACTATGGGGTCCTTGTTAAAGATAAATACTTCTTAGTGACAATTTAAGGAGACCAAATAGACAATGGCTTTAAAAGCTGGCTTAAAACTCAACATTCCAAAAACTAAGATCATGGCATCCAGTCCCATCACTTCATGGCAGATAGATGGAGAAAAAAATGGAAATGGTGACAAACCTTATTTTGTTGGGCTCCAAAATCACTGCAGATGGTGACTGCAGCCATGAAATTAAAAGATGCTTGTTCCTTGGAAGAAAAGCTGTGACAAACCTAGGCAACATATTGTAAAGCAGAGACATTACTTTGTCCACAGAGGCCCATCTAGTCAAAGCTATGGTTTTTCCAGTGGTCATGTGTGGAGGTGAGAGTTGGAATATAAAGAAAACTGAGTGCCGAAGAACTAATGCTTTTGAACTGTGGCATTGGAGGAGACTCTTGAGAGTCACTTGGACTTCAAGGAAATCAAATCAATCAATACTATAGAAAGTCAGCCCTGAATATTCACTGGAAGGACTGATGCTGAAGCTAAAGCTCCAATATTTTGGCCACCTGATGCAAAGAGCCAACTCATTGGGAAAGACCCTGCTATGGGTAAAGATTGAAGGCGGGAGGAGAAGGGGACGACAGAGGATGAGCTGGTTGGATGACGTCACCGACTCGATGGACGTGAGTTTGAGCAAGCTCCGGGAGTTGGTGATGGACAGGGAGGCCTGGCCTGCTGCAGTCCCTGGGGTTGGAAACAGACAGGATTGAGTGACTGAAGAACAAGAAATAGAGAATGAAGAATTAGAGGGGGACTTCCCTGGCAGTCCAGTGGTTGAGACTTGGCCTTCCAATGCAGGGGGCACGGCTTTGATCCCTGGTTGGGGGACTACGATCCCATATTCTGTGGAGTGCAGCCAAAACATAAAAAATGCATTCAGAAAAAAAAAAAAAATAGAAGGAAGGATGGGAACCATCACTGACCTGGCCAGTGTGGAACTGGTACCAAGTGTACTAAGCAACAGCTGAAGCATCCCAGTTCTCACCGGAACTCCGGAACGCCGCAGGAAGCCTTGAACAAAAGTCACGCCACCTTGGAGGGGCGTGAGTCGCGTCTGTGAGGTCCAGCCAGAGATCAAGAGAGACACACCACGGGGAAACCTGAAGGGACCTGACTCTGAACCACAGAGGCTGACTTCCTTCTCCCCGTTGTTCATAAAGAAGCAGAGAAAGACTGCATTAAAAAAAAACACACACACAATTAAATTTGGCAGAGGAAGGTTTTGACCAATGCCAGATAAAAACGGAGGGAGGGAAAATGTTGGTTCTTGGGGAAAATGTGCCCTTCTTCATAAGGGGCATGTTTATTCAAGTGTTATCTGTTTATCCCAGTAAGTTTTTGCACCCACTGTTGAGCAAAAAAAAAAAGTCGATACCTGTTTTGAATGAAGGACTCCATGTTTTCCATTTAGCACTGGAAACCCAAGGACAGTTTGGAAATGTCTTCAGACATGGTTGTCACTTGTCTTAAGTGGGAATAAATTCTAGCTACTTTTCCCCTGAAAGTGCTTTACAGTCTAACTACAGATATTTTTGAAGCAACGGCAGAGATGGTTGTGAACCATCCAACAAAACGCAAAGCTTGGAATGATGTGCCAAGTCAACTTATAGCCAAAAATAAATCTCCCAAACAACAACGCTCTTCCTCCAGCTTTTACAAAAGGAGAACGCTGACGACTGACTCTAGGCTCCTGCAAAGTTCAGTTGGATTTCTCACAGCAGCATCCCTGCCAATGCAAGCTGACACAACCCACATCCATCTCACCTCTCAGCTCCTAACTTCTGCACGGGGACAACATCTACAGCGCTTTGCAGGGAGTTGGCGGCGTCAGACGAGACAGTGGCTGCCGGGGCATGGAAACACCCCAGCCTGCTGGGAGATGAACCCATGAGGCTGCTGTCCGAAGTGCA